TGGAGTTTTTCTGGTGGTCCAAAGTTTACTCCTGACTCTTTGCTCTGGGATCCTTTTTTTTGTCCGGTTGCAGCGTGAGGATGATTGGGTTTGAATGGGTGTTGTGACTATTGGATATTTGTTGTTCTCACGGTGAGTGACTTGGGACCGACCCCAGAGACACCGGCTGCGATGATTGGTTGCCCCTGTCGATGCCTGTCTCATAAATTTGATGCCATGGAAAATTACCCCGTATTTTCAGGGGAAACCAAGAGTCAGCACTGTTTTCCTCACGGGTCATTGTTGTTGTTGTTCTTGGGACAGGGCTGACAGCATTGACCACGGCCCGGACCAGCCGCGTCTTGCCGGGAAATAGTTTTAGCACCAAGAGGTCTAACGGCATGGTAAACACGTTTTGTCATTGATAGCCTGACTTTTATGCGCTTTCTTACTTCTTTTTTAACAATATTAATGCGTTACCGTTTTTTTTTTTTTTTTTTTAAATCTTGTTTTCTCGTGTTAAGTATATATAAGGTCAAGATGCCGGGTGATCCTTCTCATTTAAACGCGGAGCGTCTTAAGGAACTGCGAGGGGCTGTTCACAAATTCTTACAAGATTCAAGTGTTTATTCTAAAATTCGTGATATTGTAGACTCTTATGTTGCCGAAAATCCGGGAGACTCATCAAATCCAGCTTCCTCTGCTGATGTGATGAAGATTATCCGAGAAAAAGGACTGGTTCAAGATTTACTAAATCGGTTACGCGGCGAGAAAATTACGGGTATCGTGCAGACTCCAAACAAGGCTCTTTCATGGAAGCTTCTTCCGGGTGAGTACTACCTTCATCTTCGACTGGCCGGTGGGAAAGCATTTGTTGACAACTTGGACCTTACTCCAAGTTTCGCTAAAGACTATCTGATGTACGTTGCGGTACACTTTGGGTCACAACGATACCGATCGAATTTGGAGGATGTTTCTGTGGATCCTCCTTTTAGAGATGAGTTCCTTATAGATCTTGATTATAAATCATTTGGGTCTTGTGCCGCAGATTTGATAGAGGTTTCAACTCCACTACATATAGCCGTTTTTAGAGAGGAACGTCTTTTAACGTTTTCCAAGATGGTTGGAGAAAATATTGTTGACTGGAGAAAGGTTTTACGCACAGGCTACCTTGGTTTAACTGTTGAACTTTGTGGAGATAACCCAGGTATTCCTGCTGGTATATTAGAGTTACAATTGGAGCTATTGCCTAATAAGGCTCCTCGGTTTTCAGAAGAGGATGTTGCATCCAGAATCGATTTGCAGCGTTCTGCAATCACTTCGGCTGACCGTGAGTTTCTTTTGTACGCACGTCGTTGGTGGATGGAGTTTCAAGACATTCGACCCACACATAAGCAAAGAAAAATAAAAGTGTTTGCTTCTACTTCTAATGGGAGGATGGTTCCAACAACACATTTTATTTCTGTAGTTCGTCCAGATAAAGGGATTGACACGCCACTTGAAGCAGCAAGATTTGTTTCTCTTATCGCTGTGACAGACGAAGAAAATTTGACTCAAGAATTCCTTCTTGGTGGATTAGGAAATGGCAAGTCAGCAAATTGTTGGCCCTCAATGTTTACTTTTCTATCTCAGAGAAGAGGAGAACCCTGTAATCATGCGGCTCTTCTCTGTTCTTTATTACTTGGCTTTGGCTTGGATGCTTACTGTGCTGTTGGAACAAATAAAAAAGGAAAGACCGCAATGTTTGTTGTGTCTCGTAAGCGTCTTAGCACTGGTGTTTTTGACGTTATGCTCTGGGAACCTACAACGGGAAGTCGCTTTGCACTAACCGACGCACATCCATGGGAAACTCTGGGTTCTGTGTTTAATCACCGATCTTTTTATGCTAATATTCAGCCATCAGATATTATTACTACGATTTCTTTTGATCTTGACAATGAAGGGTTATGGAAACCGTTAAACCCTTTAAAGCTTCGTATGGTTCCAAAATATCCCAACCCTTCGCTTTTATGGATTTCAAGTGATACAAAATCGCTTGAAGACGAACTCCTAACTTTATTGATTCGACAATTGACTGAATATCGTGACATCCGGGGGATTACCACACGTTTTAATGAGAATCTTGCCTATGTTCTTCGGCAAGCTCTCTCTGCCTATGAGAGTCATCGACGCAATGGTGCTCCAGAGGATTTGTCGTTCTTTGAAAATTGCGTAAAGGGTGTCATTGGAGAGGGAAAAACTTTTAAAGGTGTCCCAGTGAACGTAACGCATCTAAACAGCCGTAAGATACTTGCAACATTTGAAGGTAGCGTTTCTGGAAAAGAGATTTTGGAGTTAACAGCCGATAGTCTCACTTTGGCTGTTCAGGTAAAAATATATTCCTTTCCTGAAGGCGTGCTCTCTGTTTGGGTGATGTTGGCCGCAGCATATGCGTTTTCTTCTGTTTGAGCAGGAGACGCCAGATGGTGTTGAAACGAATAGGCTGAATGTTGGCCACTAGAAATTTATAGAAGGGGCGATTTTTTGATCTTCCGTGGGGTCCACCAGGCGGTTGTAACGTATTTGTCACCCCAGTAGCTAAAGAATTCATAGAAACAAGGAAAATAGCAAAAATAGAGATGTTTTTGTGCAGAGAATACATGTCCTGTTTTTTTTTTTTTTTTTTCCTCTATGCAGCATCTTTTCTAATTTTAAATCATCCAACTCTCACACACACAGAGAGAGAGAAAAGGAACAGCGAATCCGAGAGGTGAGGGTATTGGGATATGAGAGCATTAAGGTACGCCAGAAACATCCGGTCTACCTCGAGATGGCTTTGCTTTTGTGCACCAAACACTTACGCGAGACATTTCGGGGTTACCAGACCTATGCACTTTGAGGCAAATCTTAATTCATCTTTTTATGCGTGTGGCAATTCAGATGACTGGGATCCATTTGAAGCTGCTCCGGTCTTGCCGGAGGCCAATACACACACTTTTGAAAACGCCGAATCACCTAACGTTCAAAGCTTTTCCGCTACTCAACCCTCGGAGGCAGTCCCCAGAGAGTTTACGTCTGATGTTTCTGTAATTGATGCAAGTGGAAACAAAGTTCAGGTGACACCTATTCAGCATTTTTCCGAACTTACTCATACACCGGATTGGTTAATAAAGGGGCTTAATGATTTGGCTTATCCAAGGGTAACCCTTATTCAAGGCTACACCATCCCAATCCTCGATCAAGGTCACGATCTTATTGGCTTGGCTCCAACTGGATCTGGTAAAACAGTGGCCTTTGCTGTTCCGGCATTGAAGCGTTTTAAGCCTAGTCCAGATGGATTTCCAACAATATTAGTTTTGGCCCCGACTAGGGAACTTGTGCAACAAACGGCAAAGGTTTTTTCTCAGTTGAGCTCTGGGATTGTTCGTGTGTGTGAGGCTTATGGAGGAGCCCCACGAGAAATACAGGCCAGACGGTTACAGAACGGATGCGACGTGCTTATAGCGTGTCCAGGGCGCTTAAGGGATTTTTTACGGAATGGAGATGTAACACTTGAACACATGTCTTTTTTGGTTTTTGATGAGGCGGATCGACTTCTTGATATGGGATTCAAGATTCAGCTTGATGAAATATTGAGTTACGCCGACCCATCACGTCCTCTTCAGACAATGATGTGGTCAGCCACCTGGCCAATAGGAGTTGAGGAATTGGCGCGTGAGTACCTTTCACAAGACCGATACACCATCCGAGCAGGTACAGCTGGTATGGGTTTGCAGGTGAATGAAAATATTAAGCAGCATATACTATTTGTCGACCGTCATCAGGAACGGATGGAGACTCTTGTTTCACTTATTCAAAATGGAACCATTGATGAAAATACGGCAAAGATGATGATTTTTGTAGAACGTCAAACTGATACGGAAAATGCGGCTTATCTGCTTGCAAAAATGTTGGGTATACACATCAGAAACATTGGCATGATTCACGGTGGGATGCAGCAACGGCAACGGGACTACATCATGAACGGATTTAAACATAGTCAAACCCGTATACTTGTGGCGACTGATGTTGCATCGCGCGGTATCGATTTTCCTGACGTGACATGTGTTGTCAACTTTATTGCGCCAAAAAGCATTGATAGGTATTGCCATCGAATAGGGCGTACAGGAAGAGCTGGCCGCACAGGAGATTCTTTCACATTTATTGGTCACTCTGACGGCTGCTTGGCAAAAGATCTTGTGTGTTACTTGAAAAAATGTGGGATGGAGGTTCCGCAAAAACTCGTAGATATTGCTGAGAAATACGTTCAATATGAAGAGCAACGTCATTTGAGGCGTTCGTGGAGTGGACGATCTGGACGAGGTTTCAAACGTCAGAAGCAAGATAGCCCTGCGTCTTATCAGAGTAGCAGCTGGTAATAAGTAATTGAGTGAGAAATAGAGGAAAAAAGGTTTATGTTTTTTTTTTTTTTTTTTTTTTCTGAGCTCGTTTTTTATTTTTATTTGCACGTGTGCGTGTGTGTGTGTGTGTCCATGGGTTTTTGTTACATATTTACCGTAATAGTGGAGCGCATTTATGTGCCTTTGTGTGAGTTTGGGAATCGCTCTGTTAGCTAGACTGATGCTCACTTTGTGTTCATAGTTGCTGTTCCGCCTCATGACATTGGGCAATGGTAGGGACGCTAACTCAGTAACAAGGAGAGGAAAAGGAAAAACAAGAAGAAACGGGGGAAAAACAAACAAACAAACAAACTTCGTATATTTATTTATTTCCGAGGAAAAATGGCGTAACAGATGAAGCAACGGTCATAAGTTAAATGGGATAAAGCGAAAAAAAAAAAAAAAGAAAATGTGTATTTCCACTTGTTTTTGGTCTTATCTGTGTTTTCTTTTTTTCGACCATTTTTTTAAACCACTTTAATAGTTGGGAGGAGAGGGAATTTGCCGGTCGTGACATGGCGAGGATTATCAGTGCATCGGAGCTGGAAAAGGCTGCTGGTGCATTGGCTCGTGGAAATTTGGTAGCCATTCCAACGGAAACTGTGTATGGTTTGGGCGGCAACGCACTTAATAAGGAGGCAGTGGAAAAGATTTTTACAGTGAAGGGCCGTCCATTGACCGATCCCCTGATTTGCCACGTGTCGGATGTTGAGAAGGCAATGGATCTGTGGGATGTGCATGCCGATCCGGAGGCTGTGGAATTGGCCAGGGTTTTGGGAACGGCAATTTGGCCTGGACCTTTAACCATTGTGTTGAGGGCGAACCCATTGTTGCCGAATTCGGTAACTGGGGGATCGGGTTTTGTGGGTGCGAGAATTCCACGCCATGAAATAACTTTAAGGCTGTTGCAGCTCGTGAATTTCCCTGTGGCGGCTCCCAGTGCGAATACATTTGGTCATGTTAGCCCTACCACGGCCGATCACGTACTCAAGGATTTGGGGCCGAAAGATTCCTCCTTATTGATTGTCGATGGTGGACCATGTGACATTGGTATTGAATCTACCGTGGTGAAAGTAAATAATGTAGAGAGCGTTGAAATTCTTCGCCGAGGAGGAGTTACACTCACGGAAGTGCAACGTGCTCTTGGTGATAAATTTCATCCTCTCATTACGATTCGGGATACTCGTTTGCGTCACCTCAGTCCTGAAATGGCGATGGATGGACCCGGTCAGCTGCTCATGCATTACTCACCGAGTGTTCCGTCAAGGCTGTTAACGCCCAGTAGCTTCACCACCAATCTGCCAATGGATCCAGAGGGGGCGTTGGTGGAGTTTTCTTCAAATTCTTCCGTAGCTGCGCCGACGGAGGTATTGTTAAGGCACACGGTGATAATTGACTTTGGGGGTAAGCTCCACTGCCTTAAATCGGGTTGTTTGGCATATCGTGACCTGAGCGTGAATGCCCAAGTGCGAGAGGCGTGTTTTGCCGTATTTGATGCGTTGCGATGGACCGAAACTATTCCTGGAGCGGAGGTGGTGCTTTTTCCACTCGTGTCGGAGTGGCCGCATGCCTCAGTGGACACGGATCTCTTAGCAGCAGTGGAAGACCGTTTGTTCCGCGCCGCCTCCGGTAAGGTTGCACGGATCTGCATGCAATCAAGAAGTGTGTAAAGTCCACGCGCGCACACACTCACACACACACAAAAGCATGTCTTGAACGTTCGGATTTGTTTTCCTTTTTTTTTTTTTTTTTACAAATAGTTCAAATGAAAATGAAAACCTCAGAAAAATCTGTGTGTGCATGGGAACCCGGGAAGCAAGGTTGTCTGCTGATTTAAAAATGGGAAGCGCTAGCACAAAAATAAAATATTAAGCAAAAAGAAAGGAAAAGGAAGGAAGAGGTCATTTCTATGTTGATGCTTTTCCTTTCATCTCGTTTCTTTTTTCTCTGTCTTTTTTTTTTTCCAGGCTTTGTTCTACTTTTTTTTTTTTTGTTTCTGATTTCTTATTTATATCTGCGTGAGTGTACATGGTTTAGCCGTCGTTGTTTTGTGTGCTTTCTCTTAGTAAAATGGCTTTTCACCCCAGGGACGCCTTTATTTTGCACCAGGAGCAAATACAGAGATACAATGAGGGTGACGAGGTGGATACTTCCGCAGAGCAGAAGGTACAGATAGAGCTGCAGCGGCTCACAGACTCAGAGTCAACGGTGACGATCGCCTTCTCTCATGAGGATCACACTTTGGGAAACCCATTACGGCATGTTCTCATGCAAAACCGTGAAGTGACAAGCGCCGGATACGCCATTCCCCACCCACTGGAAGCGAAAATGCTCTTGCATGTTCAGTCTACTGATTACGCTGTAGAGGCAGTTGCAGAAGGGCTTGAGCGTTTGGCTTCTATATGCGATGAGACGCTGCAAAGCTTTGAAGATTGCATGCATAGGATGAGGTACGAGGGAGTTAAACAAGAATAGTAGGTGAGTCCCAGTGAATGTGCATTTTCTGTTATTTGTTTTCTCTTATTGTCGTCTGTGTGTGGTTCACCTCTTCTCCAGTGACGTAAGTGATGTCACCATTTGTCTTTTGGTATTCAGACATGTGTGTGGTTTTAATACGTTGTTTGTGTATGGGCTAGGACGGAGGTGGGGGTGCATCACTGTCTCGCATTATTGGCGGAAGAAGATCTCCACCGATTCGCGTAATAATAATTGATGATAAATATAAATGCACACTGTGAATTGACAGTGTTGAGTGTCTTTTGTGCGGTGTCTGTTTTTTTGTCTGTTTGTGTGATGGTGTGTGAACGGTTGCAAGATCAGTCTCGTAGAGACATGCGTTCTTTTTTTTTTTTTTTAAATGAATAATTTCAAACGCCATTACTAATGTGATTATAATTATTAATTCCAATGCAGTGGAAAAACAATCCAATAGGAAGAGAACGAAGGCACTGTGAGAGAACATGGCTGAAAGGCTTGCAGAACCTAAAAGTTCGGTAATTGTGAATGGAAGAAAGCGCATCACCTCCAAATTTGTTGATGGAAGCGAGATGGTTGAGGAGTACGACGTCATCACTGATGAACTTCTGCTTAGAAAGCGCCGGGTAAAGAATACCCTCGGGAACTTCGGTAACTGGCAAGTGGAGGTGGGGAGTGAAGTAAAAACGCGTAATCTGGAGAAGGAATTGCTGATTGAGGCAAATGGCAGCCCGGAGATTGTGAAACAAGACACCCCCGAATATCATGTATTCCGTATCCGCAACCTACCCTACGCAAAGGATGTGTTTAGTGTAACGGTGGAGCATCGCGAGCCTGGAGATGTTGGCGAGATAGTCGTGCGTACCAGCAACAAGAAGTACTTTAAGAGATTGAGCATTCCTGAACTTCAGCGGCACCACATTCAACTTGACCCAGGTCATCTTTTATACGATGTACAACACAACACATTGATTATTCGTTACAAAAAGCACCTTGCGGTTTTAGCAGCAGATGCTGCAGCCAAAAAAGAACGAGCAGCGCTGCCAGCGAGACGCATAGATGGTGCGGATGGCAATGCTAGTGATGGATGTGCGCAGCAGTAAAGGGTAAAAGAAGGAAGAGGGTGTGGAGTGGGAGCGCTTTGATGACATGAGCGTCTTTACCGCAGCACTTCATACATTTGGCATTTGAATGTGGACACTCTTGTCTTTGCGGCACAGAAGCGGTTATCGCCACCTCTTTGCCCCTCTTCGTTTTTTTTTTTTTTTTTTTTTGCTTTAACGTGCTTTGCTAGTGATGCCGCTGCACTCATCCTATGACGGGGAGAAGCATGAGTCCTTTTTTTTTCTCTGTTCTGTGTGTCTGTCGCCTTACATAAAATTTAATTTTTTTTTGAAATCCCGGGAGGCAAGGGACGACAGGACCCCGAAAAGCAGGAAAAAGGGCTCTGGAGGCGATAACATTATTTATTTATTTTATTTTATTTTATTTTAAATTTTTGTTGTGGTTTTGGCACTAGGGGAGGCAGAGAAAAAGTAAACAACAGTAAGAAGAATAGGATATTCTCCATTGCTGGTAGTAGTGGTAGTAGTAGTAATAGTAGTATTAGTGGTGGTAGTAGTACCGCTTTTCTTTCATAGTTGGTATTCTTTTAGAAAGAACCCACACTTCAAAAAACAACAACAACAACAACAACAAAAAAAAAAAAACACGCACAACGGCGTTTTTTCTAAAATGCTTCAGCGAAGTATTCCTCGTCTTGTGCGTGACCCAGTGCCAACGGATACCAAAGCCTTTTATTCGTGGTTCAGCGGGCAGGCATACCGTCAGGAACGTGTGATACCCGGTGGCTATCCAGCCGTGCGTGTGTATCCTGTGTACGGCAAGCGGTGGTTTACGGGCCGGACTGTGATGGCTATGATCGCAGGATTTTCTTTGTTTGGAGCGTGGTTTCGTCCTGAAAAGGAGCGGTATAACATGGAGATGATGATTGAATGGTCGGAACGGCAAGCTGCTCATCTGCCTTACCAAAAGGCAGAAGTTAATCTGCGATGCCTTATAACCAGTTACAAGCGTCACCGCTACGAACAAGAAAATCTTATCGACAAGGGGTTTGTAGGTTTGACTTCAGAGTTCAGAAAATTTTTTTACCACGACGATGTATGGCGCCCGCCTTTGCACGATGTTCTCATGCATCCATATGCGAAATTTGGTGGCCCCTTGTTCAGTTATAACTGGACAATTGGATACTTCTAAGAGAGAAGGTAGAGGAAGCCAGTTATGTGTTGTGTACGTGTCTGTGTAGATTGCCAGAGAGACAGAGAGAGAGAGAAAGGGGATGGGGAACGGGCAGCTTGGGATTGCGGGGCAGGGTCTTTGCTATTTGAGTAGTCCGTACGCACGGCCGTTTCGCACAAGTGCGTGCGTGGGCATAATTAGATGTACGAGACGTCATGAAGCAAAGGAAGAGAAACCGGGTGGGTCACTCGTTGCTCTCTTCCATCTGTGGATCAAACTGAGTTTGGCGTAGCGCAATGGTTTCCAATTCCCTCCCAGTTGTCACAAGGTTGCTGTTTTCGCAAAGAGAAGAAGAACCATCAGTGAAAAAAGAGGTACAACGGCGCAAGGAAGAATCAAAGAAGAAAAACATTTTTTTTTTTTTTTTTTTGTGTGTGTGTTTCCTTTTTTTTTTCCCCCGGACTTGTATGCATTGACTGCATATATATATATTTGATTACTGTCTATCAACGAATCAAAACTAAAACACTACCAGGTGATAATAGAATAGATAGAGAACTTTTAACGATGGAACTGGATGCTGATTTTGGCTCTGTTACGGCTGCCTTTCGAGGCACGGAAGAATATGCGGCCGCATTTGATTTGGAGTTGTGGAAGGCGCAGCAGCAGGCACGACTGCGAAGTGAGCTGAATGAAGAAAAAAAGCGACTAAAAAAGGAGGTGGCGGCAGAGGTACGAAAGAAGGAAGAACAGCGTCTGGGAGATTTAGATACAGTTCGGCAGGACTTGGAGCAGGTGGCAAGACGGCTGCAAATTCGGGAGGAGACGCTACAGAAACGCATCTCACAGTTCGAAGCTCGTGAGGCAGTGTTTGAGGCGCGTCGTGTGAAGGTTGCGGAACAGCACGAGCAGCACCTGCTGTCGGTGGAGGGGCGCACACGACGACAGTTGGAGGAGGCGGTGGTGCGTCAAGGTGTTCTCCAGGCACAATTGCGGGAGCGAGAAGACACCATTACTCGCCTCGAGGAGAAACTCCGTGCGGCGGAAAGCGAGCACGATGCAATGCAGAGATGCATGGCTCGCCATGTTGCTGAGGACGAAGATAAAGCGCGTATAACGCGCTTGGAGGAGGAGTTGGCTTCAGCAAATGCAGCAGTGACGACGTTGCAGCTTAAGTTAAAGGAACGAGAATCGGAGCTGGTGGTGGCACGGAAGGAACGCGATCAGTTTCAAGAGGCATCAAAGCTATCTAGGGATCAACTGGGTCAACTTGCCCGGCGTTACAGTGAGCTGCAGAAACAGTGGCAGCAACGCGAGCGGATGCTGCTGGATGAGGAAAAGCGTAGGTTGGAGGAAGACAAGCGACGCCATCAACTTGTCGCACTTCAGGCTGGTAGTGAAACAAAAGGCGTATATCGCCACGACGTGCTTGGGCATCAGTTTGCCGAAGGCATTGTTTCCAGGGAGGTCAGAGACAGAGTGCTCAAACGCGGCAATGCTGGTGATGACTCCAGTACTTTTATCAGGGAGCTAATGGCTGAGGTGGCACAGGGTTTACGCGAATTACGGGTCAAGGAGAAAAAAAAGGGCAAGAAAGTGAAAGTGAGCATCGCCGATTCATCTAGACCACGTTTGGTGTACGCGGAGGTGCCACCGCGTCACCAGGATGAGAATTCGTTGCACATGAGAGGCGGTGGGAGAGCTGTCTCTGGCGAAGAAGTTGTGGAACAGAAGCGGCAACAGTCGCGTGATTTTACGCAAACAACCACAACTCGTGAGGACGTGGCCAACTCAACACTTTCGTCACTGACACAACGCGAGAGCGAGGGACGACGCGAGTTGACGGAACCGTACTACAGCCCTCTTGCGGAGAAACCCCCAGCTGTAAAGGAGGAAGAAGAAGAGGCAGATGTCGATGTCTCCTCGTCGTACTGTTACGCCGACGTGGAGTCGTGGATCGCAGAAAGAGAGGACCGACGTGTCCTGCCGAGGGAGGAGGCAGTAGGGAATGATGTGATGGAGAGTCATTTACCTACATTCCCATCTGCCGCGGATGCACCGCCGCGGCCTACACCTCCGTCGCCGGAAGATTTCCTCCAGGCATCGAGGGCGGCTCCTCCGTCTGCCTCACGGGAGTCCACTCGGGAAGAAATGGTGGAGTTTGTCAAGAAACTGCGGATGAATAAAAAGAGGCTGCTGGAATCGGGTGTTTACACCGAGGATGACACGCTCTTGAAGGAGATGACCGATAAAATTGCGCTCTATGAAGATTTCTTGATGCGGCATTTTTGAATCCTTTTTTTTTTTTTAATTTTATTTTCTTTTATTTTTATTTTTGATGGATTTTATGTGTTGCTGTTGGAGGTTTTTGAGGTACTGTAGAAAAACTTTTTTTTTTTTTTTTTTATTATTACTTTTGCACTTCCTGCCGTTATGTATGATTCAGCCGTGCGACGCGTGTGCCAGGCTGCCAGTGCCAATGGACCTCCGTGTTCCGCTCTCATACGTACTTGACGCGCCTCTTGCTCAGCGCCACGCAATTCCACACCGCACGCTGTTTCTGGACGCCACACACCCGTTTATTCAATACCTGAATTCAGATGACACGCGTCTCCCACAACATCCCACTTTGACGGTGGAGGCGCGGCCGGTGGACGAGTACGAGACGTACGTGGGGGAGGATGACTGGCGAAGGGAGAAGGCTGTTGACTCCGACAACACTGACCCTGCGCCTCGGTTTGACGATGTCGTTCAGTGGGTATCAGATACATTGAACGAGATTGGTGGGAATGGAGACGGGGTGGTGCTTTGCGGGCGACGTGTTGTTGCTGACGATTGCGGTTGGGCGGTGTTTTCTCGGACACCAACGCTGCTTTCATCCCGGGATGTATTCATCGCCATGCGTAATTCGTCCAAATTTCTGCGGGATTTGCACCATCAACTCCAAGGCGTTGCATTGGCAGGGGCGGAAGGACCAATGAAGGTGGAGGTGACGTTGGCAAAGGCGTTGAGTGGAAATAACACAAGAGAGTTTCGGGCTTTTCTTCCATATCGTCTGCATACCTCTGCTGGAGATGGCTGTGTTGAGGCATGGGCGGGTCACATGTACGCTGGAATCAGTCAGCGGGCAACGGATGTGTGTTTTCCCTCGTTGATGGCATGGGACGAGGCGACGCATGACGAAAACTACGCCATCGTGATGCGTCATATTGAACTTGCCAAATTGTTGGAAAGGGCCCTTGAGAACGATGCGTTGCTGCGGACGGCGCTTTTTCGACAGGCTGACAAGCCATCTGTTGCTGATCCCGCACCTAATAAGAAGTCGTCCGTTGTACTACTGGCAGTGGATGTGCTGTTTGAGAGCCCATCGCTGCCTGTGTATTTGTTGAGCGCCGCGGTGCGATGCTTCCACCATGATGATGTCAAGGATCCGGCGTGTGCTTTCCCATTCATTTTGGATGACGACGCGAAATTAGGGCGTGGCAATGATGGTAATACTACTACTACTACTAATATTGTCAATAATAACAATAATAATAATAATAATAACAATAGTAAAGCTGATGGTTGGAGTGGTGAGAGTGATGATGATGATGATGATCTGCTGAGTGATTCCGTTAGCTTTTTTCGTCTGTTTCGTGACGCCGCTAATTGGAACCGTCACGTGGAGGTGTGGCGTCAACGCGGCAGCACGGCAGGTGTCGGAGAACGCTCTGACACCACACGGACGCAAAAGGAACGGCGATTTTTTGTAGTTGCGTCGGAGCGTGACGATCTCGCGTTGACCAAGGAGTACATGGCGAAGCGTGGGCTTCCGTTGGAATTCTTTCGCCCGGACCTTTTTAAGGGCGATGGTAACTTTCTGCGCGAGTGGCGAGAAAGACTGATGCAGAGGATATCTATGGCGGAGCGGTCCCGAGGAGAATGATCGAAGGCGACACCAATATATATATATATATATATTTATATGCACGCTAATCTATGCCTTATTTCCATGAGTCCTTTTTTTTTTTCTGTCCGCATGCGTTGAGCCCTGCTATTTTACTTCACACTCCTTCACTGTCTTCATGATTTGCGATTCCTGTGGGCATACCACTCGTAATCACTTCTTTTTTTTTTTTTCTCTTTTCTCTCCTTTTTTTTTTTTTTGTGCCCTTACCTTTTGTCTGCTTTATGTACCAACGACAGTGGTAACCAAGCCACACACACACACAGGAAGAGTTCTCCACTCTACCGCTATCACTGTTCGTATTACTTTGCTTCGTTCCGAGTCTTGGGATCGAAGCGGACATCCAGGAGCAGAGCACCAACACCGCTGCAAGGGGAGTGGGGTGGGGGTGGGGAGGAAAACACATCCGGACGGCAGATACCTCCGATTGCGTTCTTAATTACTGCCTCAACGTGCGTACATTGCAAAGTTGTTGGCGGGGGACCGCAAAGTTTTTAACGGCAAAACCAAGTAAAGAGGGGGGAATAATCATACGGAGCACCTCGTTCTTCTCTTTGGCTACGCAAAACCAAAGAACGGGAAATATCTTTAGGGCAGACATCTTTTGTGTTTTAGTTAAAAATGTCGATGGGGAAAATTCTTGGCGATCGCAGGTACAGGATTGGCTGCCCTATTGCGAAGGGTGCGTTTAGCACGGTGTACCGGTGCGTCGACTTGACCACAGGGAAGGCATATGCCGTGAAGGTGGTGAGTCGGGCACTGGTGGAGGCAAATAAAATGCAAGGTGCCGTTGTGTGCGAGATCAACGCGATGGAAGTGATGCCCCGCTCAAAGTATTTGGTGAATCTCGTGGACAAACTGGTATCCACACGAAACTATTACCTCATCATGGATCTGGTGGAGGGTGGCACGTTGAGCGATTTGATTCGTAGTTCCCCCCTCATGTTGTCGACGCAGTGGTGTCGTCGGATCTTTAGGCAACTTCTCAAGGGACTCAGCGCCCTTCACGGCTCCAACATCGTCCACTGCGACATTAAGCCGGAAAATTTGCTGTTGAACGAGGAACACACACAGTTGATAATATCAGATTTTGGGTTTGCGTGCTATGCACCTCCTGGGCGTCTGCTTCACAGGGCCTGCGGAACACTGAAGTATTGCGCTCCTGAGTTGCTGCAATGCGATCCCAGGTACGATGGCCGCGAGGTCGATGTATGGGCTGCAGGTGTAACGCTATATGTAATGCTTTTCAATACGTATCCTTTCCAGGGGGATGAGAAGTGTCCCGACACGCTGGTCCAGGCGGTGATGGCGGGAAAGTACACGTTTCCACGTCCAGTGTCACCTAGTCTCGAGCATCTTTTTTCCGTGATGCTGCAGCCTGTACCCGCAAAGCGCTGGTCGGTGGAAAGGCTACTCCGGCACACATGGGTGGTGGGGGTTGATCCTCCCGTGGCAAAGGCTTCTTCCCGCACAGCCATTTCTTTAGGCGAAATAGTTCCGAAAAATCATTGCTGCGGCCACGCATCAGAGGAGTTTCTTGTGCAGTCTTCACTGGCAAAGGCATTAGAGGATGATGATTTGTGCGGTTTGTCGCGCCGCTCACGATCCTGCCCTCTCTCTTCCAGGAAGTTGAGTGGTGACGAGGTGCTTGGCCACACGGGCCTCAAGGGCGAAGTGAATGGTGGTGCACCCAAATACATTTCTGGGATTGGGAATAAAAGAGGCCGAAAAGGGAATGCCAACATTAGTACCAGAGCCAGTGACGCTAGCGGGGAGGGAGAAAAATGTACAGAATTAGGAGGAGGGGGAGGAGGACTCTCTACAGATCTTGATGTCGTTTCAAATGACACCTATAACGACAACAATAGCCATATTTTTCGTACCATGTCATTTGTGATAAACAGCAGCGGTGGATCGCCCACGTCATTATCTACATCCTCCAAGGTATCTCGGGACGGCTCCCCTGTGTCTTACACACGCGACTTCATACTTACCTTGAAGGCCATTGTTAACTTTTTTTTATTTTGCACAGCGCTTGTTATCGGTGGGATGCGTTTATTGTTGGATGTGGACTTCAACGACCTTCCCATTCCTTCTTTTCTCCGCGCAATGGTGGAGCGTCTGATAAAACCGCCGGAGGATGTTATTTCGCAGCATTTGGATCCTCAACGTAACCGCAATCAAACACGTGGCGAAAGACTGCGACAGTTGTTTGCTTCAGCAGAAAGGGCAATAAGTGCGTCTAACCCACGACGCCGAGTGGTGCCGACATGAGCGGCTTCCTGTGGCATGGAGGCAGAGCCACGCCTAGCGCCAGTCTCACCTCTCTGACACTGAATGAGGAGGAAGAATTTTGTTTCCACACCTTGGACACAATCACCCACGCAAAAAAAAAAATTGGGCTTAAGATCAATATCCACAGTGATCGCGACTGCACATTAACAATAGAGGAGATAATGCGTGTACGTCGTCTGCAGCATTTTTCCCAAACGCGTTTCGTCAAATTGCTGCTGTTGTGTCTGCCCATGGCGATTTCAATTAAAATCCAAACGAGAGAAACTCAATCGTGTTCTTTTTCTCTCTCTTCTTGAGTTTTTTTCATTCTCCCCATCTCTTATACTCCGTCTAATTGTTTAACCCATTACGCATGTGTGGAAGGTGCCAATGCACACTACCCGTCGTCTGTTGGACAGGAGATCAGCAAAGGAGATGGAAAAGAATAAAATGATAATAATAAAAAGCCTTTTTTTTTTTTGTTTTTTTGTTTTTTGCGATACTACGGGCGAGGGATGAGTGAGTGCGGTGGTGTTGGAACGAGGCAAGATGGCGTGTGCAATAAATATATTTATTTATATATACGGTTTTCTTTCTCTTCTACAGGAGGAAAGGTCTCCTGTCTAGCGGTGATGTTTCTATGTGTGTGTGTGTGAGTGTTTGCATGTGTGTTTGTACTTCTGTGCTTGCCCCTCCCCTGACATTATGTGTATTTTTTCCCCACTTTTTTCTTTTTTTTTTTTTTTTGACGGGCGAGAGGGGGAGGAGGAAGTTTGCCCCCTTTTTTTTTTGTTTGGCTTGCGCCCTTTATTCCTCTTTTTTTTTTTCTTTTTACCTCTGCGTCCTCGAGCTGTGAGGACCCTAAAAACATTTGTTTCTGGAGTTTTTTTTTTTCTTTCTTTTGCTGTTGTCTTTTTTTGTTCCTTCTCTCAGCGCGTGCATTCGAGCAGAAAACGTGGTAGAAATTATAACATCTGGACACACACATACACACACAAAACAAGAACCACAACAAAAAAGACAGGCAGAAAGACAGGGAGAGACAGGGAGGAAAGTACCGAAATGACTCGAGTTCAATCGGATGCAGCGACAGTTTATGTGGAGGCATGTAATCGTGAGCACGCGGAGTGCGCACTGGAGTTGGTGCAGGCCTTTGAAAACAATGACCGGGAGGCGAATTTGTCTGACCGATCGGTGCAATTAAACGACGTAGACCTGAGCTGCATTGCCGAGGCCCTATGCTCCACCGCGCACTCGATACGCGTGTTGAATCTGGAGGGGAACGCCTTTGGCATGGCTGGCCTGCAGGCACTATTGGAGGCTGTTGAGAAGAACCCCGGCATCCTCCGCGAGCTGCGGCTTGGCAGGAACAAATTGAAGGACCAGGCAGCGGTGGTGATTGGGCATGCGTTGTCTCGTGACGGCTGTGGACTGAAAGTGCTGGATCTCTCGGAGAACGACATCACCAAGTTGGGTGTCATTCCCATCGCGGCGGCAATTGGAGATGGCTCCTGCGATGTGGTGGAGCTCTCCTTCCACAACAACAAGATCGAGGCGGATGCCGCAACGTACTTGGGACAGGCCATCCGTCATGCGGGTAAACTGCGGCACCTGCACCTCGGCTACAATGCTATCCGGGACGCCGGGGCCGCACAGCTGGCCCAGTGCATTCCTGTGACGGTTAGTCTATCCACCCTTGACCTCACCGCCAACCGCATCGGCCCTAGCGGTGGCAAAGAACTGGCACGGGCTCTCATGACAAATTCATGCAACATTCAACGCCTTAACCTGCGTCACAACCTTTTTGACAGCGAGACCATTGAGATGTATGCGGAAGTTATCAAGACCAATACTTCACTCATTCAGCTTTTTCTTGGCTTCATGAATCCAACGCCGCACTCCGCCGCTCTCGTGCTTTCGGCACTCTGCGCTAATCGCAGCCTTTTGTTATTGGATATCTACGGATGGAAATTGCACGTGGAGGACGCATGGAAAATCATTGACAGTATTCAGAGAACGAACGGTACAATTGCGGCGATTGTCACCGATGCATGTCAATCCATTGCAAAGCGTATTGATGAGGGTAACGATGAGAGGGAAGATCGCGGCCAGCATCCCATATATTTTGGTCCTGACGATCGTGACGCGTACATTGCAACTAAAAGTCTTCGACGCTTTTCTCGGGCGCAGTCACGGCGTCAATCACGCGCTTCTTCACGTGGTGCGATGTCTTCACGCACAGGAAGTCCATCTCACCGTCGTGCAGTTGAGCGTTCTCACTCTTACAAGGACTCCAGCGTGCACACCCCACATTCCACCAGGGCACATCAGGAAATTTCGTACCAATCCACACAGAGCATGAGCGTTGCAGCAAAAGAGGAACTCCAACACTACCGCCGAACGGCAAGTGGGATAAATGATCCTGTGACGATTCCGTCACGAGAGAATACCCTTTCCCAGTTAGAATACCAGTCAGGGGATGCCATGAGGCAGACTGTGGAGCAATTGAGACGGGAGCTTTCCGAGCAGAAGCAGATTCAGCGAGCGCTTGAGTTCCGTGTTGCTGCACTGGAAAGCAGGTTGGAAGGCATGTGTTGTAACAAAACATTTGACTCCGTGGATCGAACACACGTATCGCGAGCCGCGGGTGGAAGCAGCCATGGAAGAGGAACACTCAATCGTTTCAACGACGGCTACAAGAAAAATGGTTCAAGTTACCGTAGTAGTTCCCAGAATGATGCTTACCGATTCAGCGAAAATACTCCCTATTCTCATATGGCTGCTTCTGTAGGTGTCTCGCATCGTAAGGAGTCTATTGAGCGGTCAAAAAGCGCAGAGGCCATTTCATTCGAGTTGAGGCAGAACGGTATTGCCGCTAGTGGTGCTGCTGGTGGAGGCGGCATGGCGGCTGCCCACAGTGCGAGCAGCGGTGCCAGCGGTGGGCCGGCGGAATTCCCACATATTTCCGTCGCCCGCACGGAGCGGTCGGAGCCGCCAGCGGAGCCGTTGGAGCTGCCGAAGGAGAGGAGGCCGGCAGAAGCGATGCTGCAGACGTCGACGAGGGTGGTCGACAATTACCAGCCGCAGCTGGCTCCCTCGCCGTCGAAGGACAAGGACCCACCGAGGCGAAAGGGCTCCATACGAAGTGCCTGACGGACGAGGACGGGGATGAAAAACAAAAGAAAGGAAAAAAGGTAAACGCAGGAAGACGTGTGTATCTGCACGAATCCGTGTGGGAAGTGTTGCGTTCTTTCAGGGAGAAAAAAATGGAAGGGCAAAGTGAACCAGAAATATGGAAGAGGAGGGGCGCACACACAATATATATATCTAGAGAGAGAGGGAGGAGAGGAGAAATAATGGTGTTTACACCGCATATAAAAACAACAACAACAACAACATATATATATATATATATACATATAAAGCCCATGCATGGATTCAAAAGGGCAAATGAAGGGAAGTAGATTCAGGACAAGCAAGCAGACACACACAGACAAAAAAAAAGAAAAAAAAGAAAGTAATATTGAAACAGCAACAAGAACAAATCCGGACAAAATGAAAAGCAAAGCTGAGGGCATTCGTGAATAGAGAAGAAAAGTGAACCCCCTACTTATAAGCATTTGGGCATGCCCTACCTGCTAGTGGAAAAGAACGGGAAAACACGAGGTTAAGAAGGAGAAACAACAACAGCAACAAAAAAGACGAAGAGGGGAGAATGAATAAAAATCTATAAATATACATATACATAGAGAGGGAAGGAGGGGTATAAGCTGCTGCGCCCTTTTTTATTTTTTATTGTTTTCTTCTGTCTATCTCACTCTTTTTACTGTTATTATTTTCCTTTTGGGATGACAGAATTGATGTGTAGAGATACTTTGCCTTCTTTTTGGTTCACCAGAGGGAGAAAATGGGTGGGGTGAAGGGCGGCGGCTCATTGAGTACAAGCCCACTAAAACTGAGGGAGTGGCATCCAAAACACGGCTGGGATTTTTATTTTGCCGTGAGACGCCCCTATCTTTTCCTCCTCCTTCTACTGTTGCGTCTCGTGTTGGTTATTTCCGGCTCTCAATAGAGTCTTCATGCGTGTGTGTGTGTGGAAGGGTTGTTGGTGAGAAGGGGATGAAGGGGGGTTTTCGTTTAGATCTCACCCTTTTTCTTTTAGTTCTGTATGTTTTGACTTTTGTGTGCTTTCTTTCCCTCCCTTCTTCCCTTGGTGCTTTTCCTTTTCATTTGTTCTGTGTGTCTGGGTTTGTGCGTGCTGTCATTGTCTTTGATTGTGTGGTCCCACATCCCATCCTTTGTTATTATTATTATTATTTGCTCTTGTTGTTGGTTTGCCTGTTGTTGTGTTACTGTGTGTACGGTTCTTTTCTCCAACCGCTCTTTTTTTTTTTTTCCCTCTGCTACTATGAATGTCCGCACTCTTATAGCACCAGAAGGATAAATTCTGGGAGCGCACGGGAGCATTTTTTATATTTCTTTCAAGAAATTATTTTTCGTATTGTTTTTTTTTTCTTTCCTTTCTTTTTGGGGGGTGGTGCGGTTGGAGCCAGCGCCATGCCGCTGTTTCCGCTGTTACGGGAGCAGCTCTCTGGCCGGGGACAACCCCAAATCCGTCGCATGCTGCCCTGTGCACATTGCCCGAAGATGACTACAGCAGAGAAGGCGCAGTTGCGGGAAATGAACCTTCTTTCCTACGATCAGTCTGACCTCCTAAGGCAGATTTCATCGGCATGGGAGCGGGGGGATCTCAACGCACTGCACCGGTGCTTGCAGGAGTGCACCGTGTACTTTGATCCCAATAAGCCGCATTTATTAGCATATTTTGTGAGTCTTGGTGGCATTGATTTGTTTGCCACTTTGCTGTGTGATGTGACCATGCCGGCACGGCTGAGTAAGGCATCCACGCATCAATTTGGTTTTATGGATACCAAAGGCCATGCCCCGTGGCAGCTCGTCAGAGCCATTGCGACATTGATGCGTGTGCTGACAGAGTTGCTTGTCTGTCACAATGAACTGGGTTGGCATTACTATGATAGTTATCCCGGACTTTTTTTCAGACTGTTGGAACTAGCAAAGGTGGCTGAACTGCGACTCACCGCAGTTGTCATGCTGGAGCATCTGGTTCTGAGCGTAGGCCCAGTGTTGGAGATATCGAAAGTACCGGCGTTACAGGAACTGATTCGCACCAGTGATGATGCAACACTTGCCATTTTGTGTCGTGTAATTGCGTTACTTATTGTTCCGGGTGTGGTTTTGAATCAGCGTGAATCGCCTCACCAAAGTCTTGTCTACCCCGAGTCTCTCCTGCCGCTTCAACGTATTCAGCGGGTCATTGATAGCAACGTTCTCTGGCTGATTGGAGAGAAGGACCTCGTCAAGCGACTTGTGATGTTGTGCGAGGTGCGTGGAGCAGGTGACCTTCGTGCCATGATGCAGACCGAGCGTTCTGTCACCTCGCTGGAAGGAATTGTTTTCGAGCCGGTTATGCAGGAGTTGTCCACCACCGCGATTGCGGCCTTACCGTCATTGGGTGGTGGTTTTCCAGCAAACAACCCTTTTGGCGGCTTGGATTTTGGGCAGCTGGGGTTGGTCGCTTCGCGGGCTTTGGGCCGCAACAGCAATGGCAGTGGCACTAGCAACAGCAACAACAGTGATCCCGCGACTCGTTTCGATTGGGTCGGAGGACGCGGCTACGGCGTGGAAGAGCTCATAGAAGACGCCGGGGGCACACCGCCTCCGCAGGCATTAGGTGCCATGATGGGCATGTGGCCGGAAGAAGACACCACCTCCGCCGCCTCTATCGCGACGGTTGGCTCAAATGTAGACTTCAGCTGGTTTGTCGGATGCGCTGACGCAAAACAACGGTGGCGAATGCGTGACTTGACACTGCGTGAGGAAGTGGATGACAATTGTCCACTTCTATGCGGGTTTGGGCCGGTAACGGACAGTAAGTCATACGAGGCGTTTCGAAAGGAGAGTCGCTTCTTTTGGCAGTTTCTCGCCCCGGTGCTGAAAGACC